GTGTGTGTGTGTTGTGTGTGTGTGTGTGTGAGTGAGTGTGTGTGTGTGTGTGTGTGTGTGTTTGCGTGTGTGGGGAGGAGAGAGGGTGAGAGAGTATTCTACTGGGGATCCTGAATTGCACATAAACATCAGGCGAATGAGCACGCACGCTTTCTGAAAATACGGTATTATTTTTAAATCAATGCATCAGGTAAAGAGGTGTGATAGTGTTATTTTCAAGTGTAACTTTAACCCTTGCTTCCAGCTACCACAAAATGTACAGTAAACCAATGAAATGACGCGCGTGATGAGAGCCAGCACAGGCATATATGAAGTAAGGGCAGCCTATCATATCTCTTAAAGAAGCACGGTGACCTATCTTTTGTGTTTTATTAGAGTCGCTCTCGGGTCTCAGCTATCGCCTCGCGCGACTCTTACGCTTCTTTAGTGCTTAGCAACCTCCCGCTTGCATCCATAACCAAATAGTGTACGCTGTGGTGTTTACCATTTGTTAATAAGAAATTAAAATTTACAAGTTCAATTAGTTTTCGAGTGTCACAATACTAATGCCTACCTCACTCTAGCAGCAGAAATATTCCAAGCCGACAGCGATAAACTTAACAAGTATCGATCCCGGCCTGAAATTCGTTACATGACGGAAAGCGTCTTTGGATCCTTAAAACATAGCCAGCCAGGCAGAAACCTCTATTTCTCAGGTTAAACACCATCTTCCTTTTTCCTAAAAATGAGAGGGTCAGAACTTGTAGGTATCTTTTTTTTTGGTGGATAATCCTTCTCTGGTACACCTAGCCACTTGTCGAAGTCACCATCGAGCAACGCTGACAATCGACGATAATTCTCTAAGGAATGCTTTCCTGGAGTAAGAGTACCAGCGAACACAATTTTCTCGGCACCCTTTGTTATCAACTCCTCCAATTCTTCAACCCGCGATATATCAAGTGCATCTTTAAAGTTAGGCATCTGCTGCAAGACATGTCTCTTTAATGACAACCAGTGACGGATAATGGAGAAAATAGGTATATCTGTGGTTGACTCACTACACGATGAGGCAGCGTTCTTTAGCAACTGAAATGTTGTGCACATTGCTTTCGCAATTTCTTGGATTGTCATCATGCCACGAATAACTTGCTGAACCACGCGATGTAATCTCATGCATCCAACAGACTTTCTCTGGAAAAGTGAATACTTGGTCAAAACTTTTACTACCTGTTTATTTATGAGAAGATGTTCCCCCTTTTTTCCAGTAGGAAATTCAGGAGAAAGAAGCTCTGCACTGATGAGTCCTTCATGGATTTCATCTGGATCAAGGAAAGCAGTTGTATGGACAAACCTGGTGGCAACTTCTCCAAATCTTGATTTCCTCACGTAATCAAAGTTCAAAAGCCATGTAGTGTGGACCGAAAGACGACTACGGGACTCGTATTCCCAAGAGGGATTTGCCTGATGCTCACTCAGTAGTCGTAATCGTTCGCGTTTGTAGTCTTCCAGATATTCATTTATAGTGCACTCAAGGGATTTTATATGCGCACCAGCCTGCTCTAAAGCAAGGGGAAGACAACCAAGCTCAACAACTAGCTCATTTAGCGTATCCTCCTGGCCTGCGGCTCTCTCACTGCCTAAACGACTTCGAAGAAACTCTTTTGCTTCACCAATAGCAAAAGAGAATACTTCTATGCAACCATGTGGCTCAAGATCAACACATTCACAAATTTCTTTTCTTTCATGTCGAGTTGTTATTAACATGTGGCCGTTTGACTGCCTCTTCCATATACCTATCAAAACTTTACGCATCTTTTTAGAAAGAAGTGGTTGGTCGACGTTGTCAAGAACCATTAGCCATCGCTTTTTTCGCTCAGAAATAAACGTGAGAATTTGTGTCAGTGTCAAATCAAAGGAGTTTCTCATCATTCGTAACCGTAAGGCCAGGCCATTTACACAGCTCTTAAACTTCTCTTCATCTTCAAAGGAGAACCAAAGTACGCCTCCCTCGTATTCTGCTCTATGTTTCCAAGCAAATTGAACTGCTAAGGTTGTTTTTCCACATCCACCAAGGCCACAAATGGCCGCCATCCTAAAGTTGTGGCAGCTGTTATGTAGAGCGAAGCACCTTTCAAGCGATTCCAACTCTTTTTGTCTTCCTGTAAACCACTTGTTCCGATCTGGTGCATCAAATATGAGTACCGATCTGTAATGTGCTGGGGAAGCACTGAAATCCCTTGAAAGAAGTGCATCCCAAGAGTTTGGTATCATCGGCGACATGACTTGTAATGAATTTCTAGACCCTTCTTTCAGTTCTTGTCCTATTGGTTGTTCTTCATCCTTGACTTTGAAATCTATGCTTGCTGGATTTTTGTCAAGCACAGACTTAAGCATATCACGTACCTGGTTGATACTGTCATTGGTTTTTTCCAGCCAATCTGGCAATAACCCAGAGAGCACTTGAACCTCATCACGTATGACATTAAGGAAAGTGTCATCAAGTGGGTTACCGACACAGAACTCTAATCCTACGCAAAAATTAGAAAAACAATGCAATCAGTGCCTCGCCGTTAGCTCAGTGGATAGAGCGTTGGACTGTTGAGCGGGAGGTCGAGGGTTCGAGCCCGGCCAGACCAACACTCAAGGTCTTAAAATAATTGAGAAGAATTTGCTACCTTTCTATAACATCAACAGATGGTTAGATATTCTAGTCTTCTCGGATAGGGACGAATAAATGGAGGTCCCGTCTTTTGCAGGAAGGGTAGGAGACGTTCATTTCCCACGCACGAGATTACTGTGTGATGGATGTCCTTCCACGGAGTGGGATGGGTGGGTTGGGTTTAGGTGGATTAACCTAGTAGGGGACTACGTATCCTATTGTTCTTCCACCTGTACAATGTAGAAATCTTTAGAAATAGATCTCTAAGAACAAATCTTTATAAAAAAAAGTGATAAACCAGTAATCTTCTGAGCCGATTGCTCAAAGCTGGGTTAAGGTAACACAAGGTTAGTGATAAATTGGAATTTAGATCTGAAAGCTTGATGAGAAAATTCAGTTTAATTCTTTTTCTCCGCAATTTGGTGATCAAATGCTCTAAAAACAATAGGGAAAACTATCCCAAACGGGTTTTGAACAGAGAAATATAATAGCCTATTTAAAATTTAACCCTGGGTTAACGCTACTCGGCCTTTGAACAACTGTGCCTCGGTACACAAGCTCAAATCCAATGTCATTTACAATTTGTCGAAACTAACCAACAAGACTAGTAAAATGGAAAATTGAGTAATCCTTAAAAGATGTCCAGTTCTACGGATCGATACGAGTCTTCTAATGTATTCACGAGTCGTACGACTCGTACGGATCGTCAGGCTAAGGTATTTACGAGTCGTTCGGCCCGTACGGATCGTCTAGTGTATTCACTAGTCGTACGGATCCGTCGAAACCATGGAAACGAAACGAGTCGTTGGACTGTGCTGTCTATCCACGAATGTCATCAAGAGATTTTTTCACCACTTTGAGAGAAGTGACCCCTGGTGGTAGTGTGTCGATTCGTTCGAGTCATACGAGTCGTCAATTCATGAATATTCATTTCGGAAACCATGGAAACAAAATGTATCATTTGTTATGCGGCAACCATGACGGCGAAAGAAATAACCTCACGGCAAAAGAATAAACCTCAGGGCAAAAAGAAAAGTAAACAACTCACGGCAGAAGAAATAACTTCTAAACGGAGTGGGTAAAAACTGAAATAGTAGACGCGATGGTTAGAGTGATACGTTTTCTGGAGAGAGTGTTGGAAGTTGCGATGTGGTGAATGTCGATTTAAAACAATAAAACTAGGATTTGACGATTGAGAGAAGAGTGTACCTCACAAGTTCGTTACATTTGTGGTGCCGCGACCAGGATCAAGACAACGAGGCAGGAATTACAGACATTTGGACTGACCGTATGGCCGAGCGGTGGGAAAACAATTCAGCGATTATGGAAAAGGGAGAACAAGTATCAGATGCGATGGAGTGTTTAAAAAGAAACATCGACAAGGAGATCACGAAGCTAGAATACTACATGGAGCCAGTTGACGAGCTCATTGAAAGTAACGACTATTTGGAGATGGAAATTGCCGTAAAACTAGGTAAGCAAATCGTTCATAAAACTATCGATCTTATTTCAAAGTTGGAAGGCATTAACTTGGACTCGAGTTTCGAATGGAGACGTTTGGAAATGGAAGAAAGCTAAAAAGAACGTCTTTAGTCCTTTTGTACAGGAAAGGGACAAAATTTCCGAAGTGCTTTCCGCGAAACAAAAACAAAAGGACGATGAAATCGAGAGGAAAAATTGGGTGGCTCAACTGGAGCGCGTGACACGCGAAAGACAACAACAAGAGAAGGAATTCTGGAAGGAGAAGTTCCAAGCCGAGTTGCGCGTGGTAGATGAAAAGTTGGAATGGAAGTGGCAGCAAAAGGTGCGCACGCGAAACTTCCCAAGTTAAAGATCATGTCTTTCAAGGGAAATCCATCAGACTAGGTTCGATTCAAGAATATGTTCGTCACACAAGTTCACAGTCGACCGATTTCAGACCAAGAGAAATTTGGCTATTTGTTAGAGATGGTCGTTCCCAAGGTAGGAGAACAAACCTGTAACCCTAAACCCGGGACCCTGGGTACAAGACGGCGTAGGAAAGATTGCAAAGAGAATGCGGACAAACGAAGGTTGTTGTGAATGCCCATATGGACGAAACTATAAGTTTGACATTAGTGAAAGGTAACAGCTACGATAAAATGAGAGAATTCTGTGAAAAGTTGAGGAAAAATTTTGACGCTTTGCATACCCCGAGAGAGACAGACATGTTTAAAGGATTTGTGATGATGACGTTGAAGAAATTACCATAAGTCAAACCCGACTTCGCGACAGTCGACGATACACGGGAGGAATGGAGCATGAAAGAATTGATTGAAAACTTGCAAGAATGGCTAACGAGAAATTAGACGGACGACGCCTCGGCACTGACAGAGGGAACACACGGACAAGAGAAAGGCACTGGTATTCAAAAAGGAAGAGGGAGAACGCGCGTGAATTTAGAGCTCCTTCCCGCCGATAATGCGTTAGTGCAACAATGTTTACAAAACCTTAGAGAAAAGAAGAAATTTCTTTCACGAAAAGAAATTGTGTTACAACTGCGGGTGTAGGGGGCTTGGGGCAGACCACTACCGAAGTCACTCATGTTTCGAGTGCAAGTCGAGACACTACACAAGCCTGCTCAACAAACCATCAGTAAACGGAACGAGCGACGGCATGGTGTTCACCGCGTACACCCATGGCTTTGAAGATAGAGCCTTACCAGCTCCCATTCCGCTGAGGGTTTAAGACGTCACATTATAGGCATATTTGGACGCAGGCTCTTGAAGGAAATTTATATCCAAATTAGCAGTTAAGAAGTTGAATCCATGCTTATTTTCAATGTCAGAATTCATTCCCTGGAGGACACGACTACGGAGCCGATAGAAATCACTGGGAGTGAGTTGGCGTGTTTCACGACCGCAAGGACGCCGCCTATCGGGGAGTTGAAATCAAAGTACGAACGCGCCTAAGACAAGCTGTTCTACATAACGAGGAATGAAAAGTATCCAATACACGCGATACTGGGTGATCACATCCACTGCAAGATACGTACCGAGCAAACGTTCAAGGGACGCCCTGCGGATCCCATTGTGGAAGGTACGACTTTTGGATGGGTAATACACAGAGGAGTAGAGTACGCCGATAACAAGTGTATGTGTATTAAAAAGGCATACGAATACGAGACGCTATACAGTCTGGACACATGGGGAGTGGAAGACAGGGCAGAGCATGACAAGTCAGAAGTGCTCAGCAGTTTTAACGAGAGCATCACAAGGAGAGCGGACAGCAGGTACGAATTGCGTGCGATGAATCCCAGGAAGTTCCTAGACGAGTACCAAAGAAGAACAGTCTAGAAGAGGCTTTTATAGAGTGAAAGGAAGCTGGATCAAGACCCCAATTTGAAGGAGGAGTACGAAAAAATAGTAAAGGATCGGCTAGAGGAAGGAAAAGTAAAGGGTGTTCCCGAAACACCCGCTGGAGAGCACACGTTTTACATGCCGCGCAAACCAGTCAGGGAGACTGCGAGTACGACAAAAGTGAGAATGATTTTCGATACTAGTACTAAGGCACACCCTCGGATAAACAGCATCAACGAGTGTATGTACACGGGTCCACCACTTCAGTCCTTACTGCGGGACATTTTGATCAGAGCACGCATGTCTACACACCTCATACTAGCAGATATTCAGAGGGCTTTCTTACAGATTGGCAACAGAGAGGAGGATAAAGATGCCTTCCGGTTCTTGTTCAACATAATTTGTAGAGAAAAACACCTGAGATTCACCAGAGTCCCCTTTTGAGGAGAGTCAAGCTCATTCTTGCTAGGCGTTACCCTCAACTATCACTACGATCAACGAGGTGAAGAAGTTGAAGAAACTGCCCAAGCCCTAAAAGAAAAAGCGTACGTAGACAATTTGATGAAAACAGGGAAAGAAGAGGAGGAACTGGAAAAATTCAAGAGGGAAGCAACTAGTCTTCTGGAGAGTGGGAAGTTTCCCGTCCACAAGTGGGAGTCAGACGTTGAGCGTCTAAAGGGCGAAGATTCAACAAACTACGGTAAGATCCTTGGGACGGTCTGGGACAAGAGAGAAGACGTGCTGGAGGTGCAAGTTACAGAACCCCGTGTCAACCAGCCATTGACAAAGAGAGGACCACTAAGCCACCTAGCAAGTATTTACGACCCACTAGGGATAATGTCACCGACAACCGTTAAAGGAAAGCATATCTACCGAGATGCCTGCGACGAGATGAAGGATTGAAACGCAGAAGTTTCAGGGAAGCTAAAGACAGAGTAGATCAAATGGTCTACCCAATTGAAGCCTGTGAGAGTTCCAAGAAGCATAGCAAGAGAAGCTGGTCGAGTGCAGGCCGTACATCTTCGTGTATTTGCTGACGCCAGTAACGTTGCGTGTTCAACAGCGACCATAGCCGTAATCGAAGGTACAACAAAATGGTCGACGGTCTACTCACCTCAAAATCTAGAATCTCAAAACGAGTCACATCTATTGTGAGACTAGAGCTAGTGAGCGAACAGATAGCGGCAAACAAGGTCAGAAATCTATATAACGTCCTCGTACGATGGCCTTTTGGTTCCGCAACTGTATGGATGGACATTATGGTCGCCCTGTACTAGATCACTAATCCGGGAAAACCTTGGAAAGTTTTCGTAAGAAACCGAGTGAAGAATATGGAAAAAATTACCAGCGATACGGGAGTAAACTGGAAGTACTGCCCAACAGGGAAGAATTTGGCTGATTTGGAAAGTAGAGAAGCTAGTATTCACAAGATGGAGACGGGAGGATGGTTCACAGGTCCAGAGTGGCTGCTAGATGAGAAGCAGTGACCGGTGCAGCCAGATTTTCAATGCACTAAGGACGTCAACGATGAACAAAAACCGATCAAGGAAGA